TCTTCTTGGGAAGGGGGACGATGGTTGTGGTCCTAAAGCAGGTGGGAACGATGCTCTGGCTGAAGGAGAGGTTGAAGATGGTGGTGAGAACATCAGCCAGCTCGCTGGCACATGCCCTGAGAGCCCTCCCAGGGATGTTGTCCGGTCCTGCCGCTTTGCGTGGGTTGATCTTCCTCGGGACTTTGCGTACCTGGCCTGGTCAGACAGTTAGTGGAAGGGAGGTGGAGGGTTGGGTGGTCCAGGTGTGTGTGTGCCTCCTCTCTGTGCTGTGGCTGGAGGTCTCAAAGCGGGTGTAGAAGGTGTTGAGGTCATCCGGCAGGTTGTCTGTGGAGCTGATGATGCTGGTGGTGGTCCTGTAGTCTGTGATGTGCTGCAGGCCTTGCCACATCCGTCTGGAGTCAGCAGTGGGAAGTGTTATGATTCCAATACTGTGGATCTGCATCCAACTTCAGTGTGGGGCAGATACATCTTTTATTGTTTTGTTGCAGTGGTTCTCACTCCTATGGACCAACATCAAATTTTTATTACTATTTTAGCAGTACATCCTCATATTCACCTTTGGTACAGCATATGCAGGAGCAATGGGGAAATCAATCGGTGCAACAGCAGCATCAGCAAAAGCTGTGGAGGGGGGAACAAAATATCAGTTCTAAAAACTGAACAAGACAAACAACAAATGTGTACTGTTCCATGAAGTGGTAACAGGAAATAAATATGTTTTATGTTAGCTTGACAAACACAAACAGGTTTTCAGTTTATTTTCTCCATTTTTGCCAAACTAATCATTAACACTGTACTCTCCATGAAGACTTTTATGCAAGAGCATCGTGTTTTAAATTACTAAATACAAAAAAATCCAGCCAACCTATTATTGCTTTCAGCAGCACAGACACCTCTTTCTATTTACTTGTAAAATAATGGCAAGCCTTTGTTTCATCTGTAGATCTAAGTTACTAGGTATTCAAAGCTCAATTTCAGTTAACCTACACAAGCATGGCTTTGTGTGTGTCTATAAAGCTTACAGACAATTCTTGCCAATGGAGTGATGTTGAGTCTCTTCGCAGCATCTGCTGTCATTAAAACGAGAGCAGCAGCTCCATCATTCAATGTGCTGGCGTTGGCTGCAGTCACTGTGCCTAAAAAGCAAGTAAACTGCTGAGAACTACAGTAAAAGGTTATTAAAACACACACAAAAGATTGTTTGAGTGAGGTCTCTGTATGCTGTTTACCACCATATTATGGTTTTCAAGCTCTTCTGCCAGCACTGAAGGGTGCTGGGATTCTTACCGACATGGACATGTCTCCAATGGACACATTTACACTGGGAAGATTATGAACACCACACACCTTCTCCTTCAAGGTTTTTCTTTGTTTCTATTATTGTCCAATTGTACACTAAATTAATGCTGAACACATTCAAACTATGAAATAACACATATGGATTTATACAGTAAAAGCAGGCGTAAACAGAGTACAGTGCATAGGATTTATATAAATCATTATTCTAACCTAGATGTGTATATTATGGCGATACACACTGTATAAACTTTGTACTCTGAGGCAAAACATTTGATTTTATTGTATGTTGTGGAAACAATATATGCATGTTGTCCATGCAGATTCTCAGTCATACAGGTCATAGTAAGCTGAAAAAAACATAAAAAGAAAAAAAAAATAATTCAACTGGACTTGGTTTTAGGTCGAAGACGTTTGTCTGCCCATAATATGAGGTGCCAACAATCCACCTCAATCACCTCCTGGGTGAAATCAGTATCTTAAGAATGGTTTGGGGCGGTTTCTGTCAATCTCTCAATGCTGTTTGTTTTCTTTAAACTCATGTCTTATAATTCTGCCCATGTCAGTGAGTGGTTTCCTGCTCCGAGACCCTTTAAATCTGTGAGGTTATCTTATTTACATTGATTAAGCCTGAGAACTAACTTGCTCCCGAGATTAGGAACGTGCTGCCATGCCAACAAATCGTGTGAAACTTTTAAAGAACCAACACATGAAGAACACCCCCCGAGAAACTGTTCACATATGCTGGTTAAGTGATTAACAGCTCTGAGCTCCCACCCGATTGGTTAGAAGGCTGAGACTCCAACAAGAACAGCCAGGCTGTTCAGTGGAGTCTGGGTTACAGTGACCCTTGACAGCACCCCTTCACACTGAGATACAATTTGCAGTATAGTTCAAGTATATATATTAAAAAGAAAAGCATACTACAACCTTAAAGGTGACTGCATAGTTACCATTCTCTTTCTGGAACACTGCCTTCAATTTGGGGACTTTGCTGAAGTCCACTCTCCTCCATTCCTCATCCTCAGACACAACCACATCAGGTTTGCCTACAACAATCAAGTCAACATCAGATATGCTTTGCAGTGTAAATGGCCAATGTCACCACATGACCCAAGTGAGAGCTATTCTGCTAACTCACTGTACCTTTCTGAGGAATGCTGACTGGTACAGTTTCCTTGGCCAGCACACCAGACTCATGTGCTGCTTTGCTGCGGCTGTATGAGCTGATGGCGTAGGCGTCCTGGTCCTCTCTGGTGATTTTGTAGTTCTTGGCTGTGTTCTCTGCACAGTTTCCCTGTTACAGAAATAAAAAGTTTACATTTTTTACATCAAGGCAACATTTAACTTAAAGTTGATAGTTACCATATGGAATTTGTTGTAGACGTCAGTGAGTCCATCCTTGACGATAAGGTCTTCCATCCTCACTCCTCCGTATGCTGGGGTCTCTCTGGCCATTACATAAGGTACATTTGACATGCTCTCCATCCCTCCTGCCACCATGACATCCTTAAAAAAAAAATTTAATAACACACATACAGTCAGACTTCCAAGATGTAGCAGCAGCCATAATTCCCTGTGCATAGAGGAGTTTGTCCTACAGTGTCAGAGTCTTGTATGGACCATAGATTATTATTAACAAAGTTTGTTTTTGGTCACATTTGTATTTTTAAGACATCACTGATGCAATACAGTATGTGAGTAGAATCTGCCCTCCATATTTAGTTATTTTAAAACAAACATTTCTACATAACCATTTTTAAATCAAAAACATCATTAAATAACATTAAATATGTTGTGGGAAGGTCAAGAATATTTTTCTACACTCATGTCTCACTCCTGACAATGGAGAGGCAGTATATTCGTTTTTTTAAACATAAAACATAGCAGAATTTGAGTTTCTGTGGAAAGGCTTGGCATTTTTTTCTTTTGTGCACAACTGGACTTTGTGGTCTTTGAGAGTGTCATTTGCTGAAATAGGACAGACAGACCAGAGCAGTACAATCAGGCTGTCGCTTGAAAAACAAGTGACAGCCTGATTGTTTCAGTTTTAAATATTTGTGCTTCATTAATTAATTAACAAAAGCATTTATTCAAATAAAACTGCATTTTGGAATTCAATAATTAAAGAATTATTGGCATTACTGTTAGCACTTATAACTACATGTAAATTAAAACTGCAGTGCATTAACTCCAAGCAGCTTCTACTAAGTAGTAGAATGTATTTAATGCCAATTCTACCTGGTGTCCACACATTAGACTCTGGGCTGCCATCATGATGGACTTCATTCCAGATGCACAGACTTTGTTGATGGTTGTTGCTGGAGTGCCAAGGGTCAAGCCTGGAGATACAATCAGGGACATATTTTCATTTACAAAAATAAATATATGAAATAAAAACATCTCTTGACAAATCCTCAGTTGTGCATGTAGGGACCTGCAGTCTGGCACAAGACAAACTGAGTAATGCACAGTCTGGCACAGACCGTGGGCGTTACCGTTTTCCCCCGTTTTTGCTGTTTCTGTTGACTGTCACTCGGAATGTATTGGCTCTACTAGTTTATGATCGTACAGCCCTTCTTAATATTCGCTCGTCTATGGAAAAATGCCCCAGTGTATACGGCTGGGAAGATTCTCTCCCAGCACCACTGGCAGAGATACCGGCATACCTCCGCTGTCCTTACTTTGTTTGCCCACGAAGAAAGCAGCCTAAGAGACGAGGGATCATGGAATCCTCTTATCTCGTTTGGAGCAGTGTGTAGGAATTCAAGGTACTGTTCTTAACTGGTTCAGAACTTATCGTACCAATAGCCGTTTTACTGTTAATATTGGTACTTGTTCATCCTCTCCAACAATCCTTTCCTGTGGTGTCCCGCAAGGATCTGTGCTCGGTCCCATTCTGTTCTCATTGTACATGCTTCCATTGGGATCTGTCTTAAGGAAATATGACCTTTCTTTTCATTGTTATGCAGACAATATTCAGATATACTTACCATTGAAGGCAACAAGAGGGAAGCCATTACAGCCATTGTTTGACTGTCTGACAGACTTGAAATCTTGGTTGGCACTTAACCTTTTAAATCTCAACAAAAATAAAACTGAGTGTGTGCTTTTTTTGGAGACTTGGCGAACTTAACTTCTTTTGACCAGGGTCTGGGCCCACTGGCTCGTCATCTGAGGCCGACTGTAAAAAACCTAGGGGTGATGTTTGATGGCAACTTTAGATTTGAGAAGCAAATCAACTCAGTTGTGAAATCTAGTTTCTTCCACCTCAGGTTGTTAAGATCAAGTCATTCCTTTCTTTTAATGATTTTGAGATTGCAATCCATGCTTTTATCAATTCCCGCCTTGACTACTGCAGTGCTCTATACTATGGTGCTAACCAGTCCTCCCTCTCTCGTCTTCAGATGGTTCAAAACGCTGCTGCTTGTCTTCTGATAAGTACTAGAAAATTCGAGCATATAATCCCGGTACTGGCTTCCAGTTCATTTTAGAATTGATTTTAAGTTATTGATTTTTGTTTTTAAGGATCTTAATGGTTTGGCTCCATTTTACCTCACTGAATTAGTGCACTGGCACAAACCTACAAGGTCCCTCAGATCTTCAAGCCAGTTTATTTTACAGGCTCCTATGGCCAGATATAAACATTGGAGTGACTGTGCTTTTACCGTTTGTGGAGTAGTCTCTCTCTTAATGTTAGATCAGCTATTGACCTGACTACTTTCAAATCCTTGCTTAAAACATATTTATTTGCCTTGGCTTTTAATACACAGTAGTAGTAATTTAATTTATTGAATGTATGTCATCTGTGTGTCTGACTTATTGTGCTGTTTTATTTTTGCACTGAACTTATTTTATTTATTTATTGCAATTTTATTCTGATTATGTAAAGTACTCTGGTCAATTGGATGCTGTTTTTATAGTGTTGTATAAATAAAATTGATTTGATTTGAAAATCATAACTGACGATCACAGCAATCATATATCCATCACATTTCTGCATTAGATTTCAACCCTGCTATGAATTTTGATATCAATAAAGACATAACTGGGTTTCTCTGAAGAGCTGGTCAGATAGATTAGGAATGGATACAGAAAAGGAACAGCTCACTGCTAACTGTCCTACTTATAGTGAAGAGATATGGCAATCCTGGTTTTGAGCCCACCTTGGTGAAGACGGAACATGCATAGATGGTTTCGAGACATCATTATTTTGGTGCCAGTAATTTGGTTTGAAAGTGTAACAGTGTGGCCATACCTGCACCAAGCAAGGCTTGTCGTGTGGGGGCCTGTCCTTGTCCTGCCTGAAGCACATTGCCCATATAGACCTCCTTCACCTCCTCAGGAGTGATGCCTAAATGCAACAAACATTAAGCCAACTCACTAAATAAACAGAGCCAGTGTATGTTACAGTAATGCAGCAATCCACACATTCATGTGAAACTGGGAGGCATCTTTTTTTTTTGTTTGTTTGTTCTTTGCATTTTATGTTTAAGCTTATCCGAGCTTAACTGAAATTACATCAACAGAAGGCCAACCTCAGAAGGAGCTTAGTATTGTATACAGGAAAGTCTGGCTAAAATATTATGAAGCCATTATTGACTGGATGTATAACATATGTACTTCTCTCTCATTTAAAGTGACCCATCTGACCATACCTGCTTTGTCTATGGCTCCCTTGATGGCAATGGAGCCTAGTTTAGTGGCTGGGACTGCTGCAAGGCTGCCTTTGAAGGAGCCCATTGGAGTGCGGACTGCACTGATTATGACGACCTCCTGAAACGATGCATTGAAAGTCTGCATTCTGAAACCCAAACATGTAATTGTGATGCAAATGTGAAATTCAAGTAAAGCTCCTTACGTTGAGAGAAGGCCCAGACGTGTAGGTTCTTGACAAGCACTTGTGAACCTACAATGGCAAAATAAGGACAAGGAAAGTGTATCTTCTACTCTTATCTTTCTAATCAAGTCTACTGCTCAAACCGAAGCATACCGATATTGTTTGCAGTTCAAATGATTCATGTTTGGACCAAGCTATTAGAAAGCTGTTAACGTTAGCATGATAATCATGTTACCTAACATTATGCTAAATATTAGAACAAACACGTAACATTAGTTAGCGTTAGCAGCTAGGTCGCCTAGTTTCATAAGTTGCTCATTTCATTAAGAAGCATACCTTGATGTTACACGTAGCCAGTGATGCAAAATACACACTAAAGCACTTGGAGGCACAGGCAGTTGGTGTCAAGTGTTTTCAGCATGAATCTATTTGTTTACTTTGTTCAAGGACGCTCCACACACACAAATGTTAGCTGAGCTACTCGTAGTCAGACTAATGCTAAAACTTGCAATACTATGCAACATAACAATTTAAGAGACATCCCCCAACAGAATCTTTTACACACCCCCACTTACCAGGCGTTTACAGATTTGAAAGTGCATGGTTAAAAATCCACGGGAAGACATTTAGGACTGAGAGACTAGACCACCACACATTAACGGGCCTCGCCGCCAGTCATGTGGCGGACTAATGCATGGCGATGGATAAATTCATCAACCAATCACAGTGAGGGGTGTTGTTCCGGTGTCATCGGTGTTTGGTATTATGGTTGTTGTAGTTTTAACGTCGAAGGCATTAAAGTGTAACTTTATATAGGCTACATTTAAATAACACTCAGGAAGTATGCAACATGGGTCTGGAAATATACACTCTTGTGCAAATTAATTGAAACAAACTGCAATTTCTCATCTTTTCATGGGTAGTCATGAATTTATGCAGGAAAAAATTATACATTTACAGTTTTTTGTTCCTTTTCCCAAGGAGATGTTATTTAATCATTTTTGGATGCAATAATCGGTAGATGATGTAAAACGTATCCTATACTATATCGTCTGTGATTGCATTATATTATATATTCATATAAAATAGTGATCATGCTTTTAGGACCTATCATTTCTAATCCAGTTGTTCTACAAGATGGATGCAACATCTAAAAAGCGTGCAAGTAGCTTGGCTTTTATGAACATACAGGAAAGACCTACAGGGAGATAGCAGGAGTTGTAGGTGTAAGTCTTGCAACTGTGGGTTGTGTGATCAAAATGAAGAAGAAAACAGGCTCCAAAGCGCAAAGGTAAATGTGGTCGTACGTTTTTAAAACTTGTGTGTTTAATGACCTTTTTAAAGAAACTGTGTTTTGCCTCAAATCTGATAGTCCAAAGTGACACAAGAGGACCAAACAAGCTGATTATACGGGAAAGTGTGAAAGACCCTAGAAAAACAAGTATTGCCTTAAAAGTTTATTTAAAGGAGAAAGGGATAGAAGTAAGTTCATCCACTTTTTTGTAGGCGTCTCTTGGAGGAGAAGATGATTCAGGCCTTAATTCAAGTTTGGCACAAGGACCCCAAAATCATCTTGTGTTCAAACTGTTCAAAATTGGTGGATTCGATGCCAAATCGCATCCAGATTCGCTTCTCAAGGGTTGAGGAGGTCATATCATGCATGTACTGATGTGAGTGTTAGAATATTATTCATATAAAGAAAATTGAGAAAAACAGATTTTTGTTGTTTTCAGGGTTTGTTTCAATTAATTTGCACAAGGTGGGCTCTGTTTGGTTTCACGAGATTTCAATGCATTGCACCTTAATAAAAAACATCAAAATTTAAATTAAGAAAACATCTTTAATGATCTGACAACACAGGCACAGAACTAAACAAATGCAAATAGAGAAAACACAACCAAAGGCCTATAGGAACTCACTACCAAATGCTTAAAACATTCTTAATTTGCCTATGTTGCAGTGTGTTTAGCTTTCAGGGGCAGGTTTGGGATGCTTTGCTTCTTTTTTCCTGTTGCAACGAAAAAAATAAATAAATACATAAACATTTTAAACATTTGTACCCAAAGATTGGTAAATTTTGCACATTGCATTCCACATTTATCTACCAAGTGAGGGCTCAGTAGACATTAGAGTGGAGAATGCCAGTATATAATAATAAAAACAAGTTCTCATTTTCATCTGCTCCTAAGTGCCCTTGTGAGGCACTTAAGATGATAACTTGTGGTTCTATGTGATTGTTTGCCCTTTTGCAACAGCCCCCCTGATGTAGGCTGTCACTGTAAAGTGACTAGTCTCCTACTCAATATATGTACTTACAGTAATAATTAAATCCTGGTTCAAACACGCACACACACACATGCACATTTATTAAGTCATGTTTAATTGATGCATGTCCAAGAGAAAGCAATAGCCACATAACAGGCACTTTACAACATTAGGCTTATACAGTTTTACATTGTAATTATTTTTCAAATTATGTAATTCCTTTAAGATTTCTAGTGAAAAGCTACAATCATCTAATCAGGATGAGTTAGCAGAATAAATTGCTTTGTTGCATGCTTAAAGCTGTGTGTACATGTATATGATTGTGTGTGTACATTTTGGGTTTTTGTTTCTTTAGTGGCAATCCATCCATTCAGAGTTTAACACAGTGCGAAGTGCTCTTTTTCGTTGGTAGTTGTACTCTGTCTGTGTGGATCCATGTGAAAAGTACAGGTAACCTGAAAAGGGGGGGTAGGAGGGTGCATCATTATTATCATGCCAAAACAGGCACACGCGTACAGTACTGCTCAGCAGAGGGACAATCCTTTCACTGTTACTTACCTTTGTTCTCAAAAGCAGCATCCACTCTGTTGCCAATCCCAGGCAGCTCACTGTGAATAAATTTTGGGTACCCAGAATCCATTTTGTGCACTCTCTCATTGTAGCTATGAGTAATATGGGGAGGAGTAGTCATCAGCACATTGTATCTGCCTGTGTATGGATTCAGTTTATGTGTTTGCAGCTAGTCATATTACTCACCTCCAATACTTGTCATTCACAAAGAGGAGGGTTTTGCTCGTAAATGGCTCATAGACAGCGGCATCTACCTTGATGACAGATGGAGGGAGGCCAAAGTCGCTGAGAGGTTTGGGATAACCAGGAAGGACAGTGTTTCTACTGATACTGATGCGCCAGTAATGATTCCCTGTGAGAAGGTAGAGAGTTGCTATTACTACATGTTTCAAACCAGACCCAACATTAACTGGTCATTTTTATTTGATTAATTTGTACCTTGAAAGAAAATGGCCATATTGCTTTTCTTATATTCATAAGCAGCATCAACTTTGCTGAGTCCAGGCCAGACAGATGCAATTCTTCTCGCGGTGATGCTGTCCCAGGAGCTCCTCCTCCTCCAGAAATGTCTGACAAAGAAACACAGTGATCACTCTCAGTGAAACAAAAAATAAATAAATAAATGCTTAACTTTACACACAATTTTGAAAATAATGCCGCTGACTAATAGAACAGCATGTTTTTTGTATAACCTAAATGTTTAAATAAGAGAATTGTGCATTGTCTCACCCATCTTTAAAGAAGTAAAGACTACGCTGAATGAAAGTTGCAGCATCAAAAGTCAGGTTCCTGTTGCACCTGTCTGGAGGAGGTTGCAATGTGGGAGTAGGATTTGGTTTAGGTATAGGTTGTGGTTTTGGCACAGGTTTTTTGGTAGGTTGTGGATTCAGATCAGGTTTTGTCGTTGTGTGAGTTGATGTGATGTTGACCCCTTTGAGGTATAAAAAAGAAAACATGAGTTGATGTGACTCTGACCCCTTTGAGGTATAAAAAAGAAAAGTCTGCAATGGCACTGGTAAAGATATTTGAGTCTCAGTAGGGTAGTTTGTCAGTGTCTTTGTGAAAAGGGTTGTTTAGGTGATATAAAGTTACCAAAATCAGTCAGTGAATTTTTTTGGACTCTCACCATAGATAGCTTGTACCCCCTGTCTGTCATCATCTGGTAGCTTGTACCCCTCTGTCTTCACATACTTGTACGTGGGATACATCAGGGCTGTCTGGACCTGAGAATGGGCTAATCCAAGTGCATGTCCAAACTCATGTGTACGTGGGATACATCAGGGATGTCCTGACCTGAGAATGGCCTAATCCAAGTGCATGTCCAAACTCATGGGCTGCCACCAAGAACAAGTTGATTCCTGCATATATGTACACTGATATTGTTACTGTCTGTATGTAATCATCTATAGAATCATGTCATGGATAACAATAACAATAACAATAACAATGTTTCCTTAATGTTAGCACCTGTTGAGGTTAGAGTCCAGGTTTCATCCTCATCAAAGTGGGTGTCACCTCCACGGCCTACTCCGGGGGAGTATGCGTGGGCCAAGACCCCACCCCTCCCATCAAATGGAGAAAAATCTCCATGTTCTGGTTTAAAAGAAGAAAAGTGGAGTCAAGACTAGGTGAAATATTCTCTAAGCCACTAAAAATATTGCATCACCTTGAGCGCTGAACACAATCATAATGTCAGCAGTGCCATTGTCGATCTGCTTGAAATCCAGAGGAAGGACATCACTGTAGAGTTTCAGAGCCTTGGCTATGGCGGTATCCACCTCATTTTGACTCAAGTCTGGTGTGTAGTCAGTTATCCTACGACAAGCAGTGAGACAGGAGCTTTACTGTGCTTTATGTCTGGATGAAAGGCATGCAGTAGCTTGTTGTCTTATAACATATAACACAGAGATTTTTTTAACCTGTATGTTAGCAAAGTCTTGTCCCACTTAGGCCGACCATCAGAGTGACCATATGTGGCCACATCTGTGAAACCACAGCGGGGGCGAGCCATCACTTCCAAGGTGTTGGAGTCCAGCTGTCCTGTCACCTCCAGGGCAAAAAACTCCTGCATTTTTCTGAGCGTGTCTTCAAAGGAGTCTAAAGAGCTACGCCAGGTAGAGTTGGGGGCACTGACACCCACTTCAGAAAAAAACTGAGACAGATATTCCTGGACAAGAAAGTAACATCAGAAATAAGAAGTTATCATACACAGATAATGCTCCATATGTGATTAAATTGATGATCTGATAGTTTATTTATTCAAATGTGAATGCACAGTTTTGAGAAGAGATAAAAAAGACAAAAAAGGGGAAAACAATTTTACACTATAATTAATTTGAAGTTGTAATCATTTACATGTTCAATCTATCCCAATTTTAATACTATTTATTGTCTGTATTATTTTTTCTGTAAAAACCATTCAGTGTATTTTCTTTCAGTAATTTATAGCTGTTTTCAGTGTTAGTGGTGCAGTCTGCCGTTCCCAGGTTACATTATATCAGTATGCTTGTACTTTTCTCTCACTGATAACGGCCCCACTGTTTACTGTTCATTCTTCTACAGCTGTGTCAGGGCTGTATTACAGTAGTGATAATGCTAACCACACAGCAGTCATTTTCAGCATCATTTGACAGCAGATCAACTATTTCATCTGTCAGCGGGTAATGGAATAAGTTGGAGCAGCCACAGTAAGTTGTTAGATGAAGTAAGTGCCAGGTTGCACAACTCCTCAGCAAGCCAGACAAATCTGTCTGTTGTTTGCTGATACTGGGTGGAAAAATACTAGTGCTGTGCTCAGCATGAAATGAAATCACAGTTGTGTGTGTGTCATGACTGAAAAAGGGCCAATTATTGACTGACTAGCAGGTTTGTTTGGCTGTAAAGTAAACAGATAAACTAAAGTTCTTTTCAGTTTTGTGACATTGCAAACTGTTAGCTGGCCCCAGAATTCTGGGACTTCAATATTAATTGCACTGGAATAATTTATTCAGTGCTGATTTTAGAGTTTTATTGCTAATTATGTTTTATTTTTTTATCATTAATGTTGTTTTGATTGTAATTTAATATTTTGTTAGTTACTTTTATTGACTATTTGATGTAAGGTGACCTTGAATGTCATAAAAGGTGCCACCAAATAAAAAGTATTGTTATTATTATTATTATTATTATTATTTACTGGCACTTGCTCTTACCACCAGTGACCATGGGTGTCACCAAATCAAACCTGAAATTTTAACTATATAATGTATGTTTTGTTGAGTTATCTTTTATACTAATTTAATTGCTGATACTTCCCAGCTTAGAACATCAAACAACATTATATCCAGAAATATAGACTTACAGAAAAACACCATGTTTAATGAAAATCTGCAATGCTTGTTCGTTGTGGAAAATTGTTCTCAAAACCTTTTACAAACAAATCAATATGAATCCTTATGCTGAAGTGTCTGGACTAATGTACAGCTCATGATAACATGCTTCCAGACTTTACTTTCTTTTGTTTTTCAGACTGTCAGGTTGAAGAATTTCCCCCCTCCAGAGAACACTGTGGTTATTATTGTTATTTTTAATCCAACTGTGAACTGTTTAAACCAGTTCTAATGCTATAAAGCTGAATTTAAATGAAAAAACAAAAATACAGGACATTGTACTTTTTGTGTTATAAAATTAAAAAGAGTGAAACTTTGTTGGACAAGATTGAAAGTGATCTTACAAAATCACACAGAAAAGCTGAAAGCTCTAGGTTACCGGACACCAACAAACAACAGGTTTTCAGCTTTGAGAACATGCACCTGACATGCTTACCTGAGCTTTAGTGAGCTCCTCTTGGTTGGATAAAGTGGTGGGCATAGCTCCACAGAGTGAAACAATCACCACGATCATCAAAGTTTTAACAGCCAGTGCACCTTCCATTTTTATTTTTTCTACTGCAGAGAAGAGATAACTCCAGGCACTTAAGCTATTCTTCTTCTGCTATGGCTCTGCTCAGATGCACGATTCTGATGCACTAGGTGGTTATTTGCTGAAACAATCGATTTCAGTCTTTTGGATATGAGGTAAACATCAGAAAAAAATGCATGGGGCAATGAAACATTGCCTGAAGTGCCTGAACAGACCCATTAGAACAACAAGAGAGATAAGGAATGTAGTGATAAGAGGGGGAGCTGGAGGGAAGAAGAGGTTAGATGAGTTCAACAGCTTGGGCCTGTATTAACATGATACACATCAGAAATTACACAATATGAACCATCGACAGGAACGCAGTTTTTTGTTTTAGATCACAGATTAGGCTACTGTTGACTACTGTTACCTTTTGCTTTGTCACCTCCCTTCATAGTTTTTTATAATGGTAAATATGTCATTAAAAAGATACTGTTGCATAGGCTGGCCAGAGACAGAAGCTGCCTTTTTCACTTTTATTTTCCCACACATGTGCGCAGGCAGCCACACCAACACCCAGGCCAACAAAAAATCCCCACCAACCCCGAACTAAATACCCAACCCAGAAGGGTATTATGGGAGATCCCGCCAGGTGCTTCCCCTCAAAGGCATTCTGGGGGACTCTGCCAAGTATCTCCGCCCCCAATGCTACAATTTGTAAGTATAGTATGTATAGATGCAGCTACTTATTGGGGTAACTTATTCCTTTCAATTGCTCTTAACCTTTATACTGTATTGGAAAGCAAACCCAATGGGCTGAGACCTTTTCTTAAAATTTTTATACACATTGAGTAATTTACACAATAGAGCAGCATTACTGGCTGGTTTGAAAACTGAATGGCTGAAGCACATACAGGCCTTCAATAAGCTCACTAAAACAAAATGTTATCAGGTAGCCTATACCAACAGGAAAAGTCCGAAACCAGCTAACAGGCTGAGAACCACAGCCCGATTATCAGCTTTACTATGTTGTTTACCAAGATTGCCTTTCATATACTATATGTTTACATTTTCATGTAAATATTTCTGATGTTATTCACAGATCCATCATGTCAGCCCACTGGTGCATGAACAATAGTTTACAATATATTATTACACACTTGGCAGTAGAGTTGGGGTTTGTGTATTTGTAATTTTGAAATGGTTTTGTCTATGATTTTAGGCTACCCATCTACAACAAGGAATTTGTTAAATACCTGGCCAGGAGAGGTTCTGAGTGTACACACATTTTTATGCATAAGTAGTAACTGTTAGGGTTTCATCCCCCTCACCCTCCTGGTGAGGGAGAACTAAGGTAGGACTCAAGATTGCTGACCCAGGTGCTAGTTAAAAAGGTGGTTTAATGGGGGGAAATACAAAAGTAACAAAAAAAACACGCATCATAGTACATATAACAACAAAGTAGGGCAGAGAGGGTGGAGGAGACCAGGATGGACAGGTGTGTAGAGCAGACTAACAGTAGGAACCAGGAGAGGAGGAGGATCAGGATGGACAGGGGAATAGACAAGCCAACCAGGAGGACAGGCGAACGAAAAAGGAAATCCACAGCACAGGAACTGTCAGCGTGGAGAACAAGATGACGTACGATACATACCACGACTATAGGTATAGGTATAGGTATAGGTATAGGTATAGGTATAGGTATAGGTACGTAAGATACATACCACGACTATAGGTATAGGTATAGGTATAGGTATAGGTATAGGTATAGGTATAGGTATAGGTAGTACGGGGTATGCAAGGTAATGCTCCGGTGAAGACAGAGCGTCTGCAAGAGGTATAAATAAGGAGGAAGGTAATCATAGGAATGCACCCCAGCTGTGCGCACCGACAAACGAGTCGCTAATTACCGATGAAGACAGAGCGCCTGCCAGAGGTATAAATAAGGAGGAAGGTAATCATAGGAATGCACCCCAGCTGTGCGCACCGACAAACGAGTCGCTAATTACCGAATGCAACACAACTGAGGTGCAGATCCTGCAAGTCCCAAGCTCTTATATGGGTCGACGTTTCCCTCACTTGCTCCTTTTCCTTGTGTGTTTATATATATATATTGTGAGATATTAACTGTGTGAGACATTGCAATTCAGGCATCAACACTGTTCACTGTGCACACAAGAATATGTATTGTAGAAAACACTAGTATCTTTATACACTATATGAAATGTAATATTAAGGTTGCTGTATGATTGCAGCACAAGCACTGTTTGGAAATTCTTACCTTAATAGGACACTGTTTTTGGAGATAAAAGTATGGCCTTCATTTGGTCATAGTATGTTCACTTATGTACTTATGGGGAGAGCCTTCATGCATAGCCTTCACTTAGTTGTGGTGTGTGTGTGCTTCTGAGGAGCTGTGCTCTGCTCCAAGGCAGTTACCATGATTACATGCTGTGGAATATTGGACTGTTTGAGACATTGTAACTGAAGCACCAGCATAGTCTTATGTACTGTACTTATATGGAAGTATAATCTTCATTTAGATTGACTCATCAGCACTGTCTTAGTTAAATGTACTAATAAGGAGTATAACCTTCAGTTCCAGTAGAAGTAAGTGTGTGTGTTCACTCTTACAATGACATGTATTTTTGGATAATAACGCTTCCCATGAAAGGAGTCGCAGGAGGAAGCCGGAGATTGAATACCGTGGGATATAAAGATGTCTGGAACAGCTCCACTGTTTTATACTCATGGAACTTGTAAGGATAAATTGAAGTTTCTTCATTATAACAGGATGTTCACTATATCATGTGTGTGCGTACTTCTTAAATAACAGGATGTACTTCTTGGCTGCTCCTGTTATGATCTCCAGATGCGCATCTGTGAATAAAGGTAATTATAATTAAGTGCACTTTAGTATTTGAGTGACTGAATATTCTTTCCATCATCTGGAACCCGATGAGGAAGTGGTAGACTTCCGTCAGGAAATAGTCTGTAAAAGGAGAAATCGTTTGTGTCTGAACACTATGGATTTACTGTTATTTCTCAATAAAAATTCATATGTGGCATTCTGATACAGACATACAATATAGTTGCAGTTCAGTGTTGTCCATTTTTGGCTGCTGATGTGAAGACTGTCCATTTCTCTCATTTATCTTGACATTGTTCCACCTGAGTCCTTAATTTATACACCAAAAACTCCATTTCAAAAATTATGTGTACATTTTGAAGCCATTCTTCTCTTGTAGGTATGTCAGGCCTACACCATTTTTTGGTGATGGCCTTCTTGCAGGCCGCCAACAGTATTTTCAACAGGTATCCATCTTCTTTAAATACAGTATTTCCCGTGAGGTGTCCTAGATACATAACCACACATGTTTTGGGGATGCCGTTACCTAGTATCTTGACAATAACAATGTCCACATCATCCCAGAATGGTCCTCAGAGCAGATTCTTGGGAGGTATTCGATCCTTGCTCTCCCAGATCAGGCTGAATGAGGACTGAGGACCAAAGAATAACCATATACGATAAGTAGGCATCACACAGTTGGTAAACTTCTTTATTTGATTGTTTCTTGCACCTCAATCAACAGGCTGCCACTATTCAGACCACACCTCCAAAGTTAAATATGCACAGTTAAAAAATGGGAAATAGAATTTTCCCTTTGAAAAATTTTCATTTTTTTTTTTTATTTTCTTTTGAATTTCCTTTGAAATTTTCCATACCTACCTGCCAACCAAAGGGACAGACTGAGAAAAGGCTGCACACTAATCTGAGCTCTCGATTTGATTTGTTAAAGAGACATCATTTCTGGCTACAAGATGTGAGGCTGTGGATACAAGTGAAAAGTGTGTGCATTCTGCTTTATTTGGTTCCTGTTAGACAACTAGTGTTAGCTAAATGCTGTCTATAGGTACATATACTTGTTGAATAAGGAAGAAATTTAAGTTCCCAAGATTCTGAGAAGTATCTTGCACAGCAATGGTATTTATCTGTTGTAAATAAATCATCAATCCAATCAACAAGAATGGAATTGAAAGCAAACTGAATTCAGATATCAGTATTAATATCCATCCCCAATAATTATACTGTGTAGGAGCCTAAATATAATTTGCGTTTTGGTTGACTTGAGTAATTTAAGTTCACATTAAATAAGTGGGAGCAATATTCATAACATAAACTATTCAAGTTCATTGTTTATTCTCTTAGATGTAAAAATGCATGTATTGATAACGCTGATTTGTACCTAATAAGTAGTTAAATGTGTTTGGAGGCGGGGGAGGGGCTTTCGGCGGAACAAGGGGGTCCTTCGTCAGAGAAAGGCAGTAGATACGTGGCGATTAGGAACTGTGGAGCAAAACAGTTTTTTGACCTCGCTTTATGGCTATCTCTCGAGTTGTTCTTTTCGTTTTTTACATTGTCATTTTATACTTCAAGTGGACGATGTTGAGTTTTGTTTACGTAAAAACGCTATAAACTATAAAGAAGAGTTTCGTGTGGATTCATGGATGTGAAACAAAGGGACATAAGAGCGTCAAGCTGAGGCTCCATGGTGCTGTGGAAATTACATACTGTATTTAGTTTTATTGATCTGATTCTAAAAACAAGTAAGTTATCAAATAAATACAGTGGAGTAAAAATCACAATATTTGTCTCTAAATAGTATGAAGCAGTAGAAAGTGAACATACTCAAGTAAAGGACCGATACCTCAAAATCATGCTATAGTACTTGAGTAACTGTAGTTGGGTACTTTCCACCTCTGGAATTTTAAGATAAACTTTTAAGTGCAAATCAGGCACATTGTTAAATACTGATGTCTGATGCCTTGAAGTACACAGAGTCTTCGGCTTCAATATTTCTCCCAGTGTTTAAACACTTGACAGTACAAACACTTCAGCACTTGATATATGGAAGATAATGTGTTAGTGTGTGTAGTAAGTAAAGAGGACACAAGAGGGGGCAGTGAGAACAAAAATCTTTATGTTTATACTACAGCAGGGTTGACTAGCGGACATACAACGCTGTTGTTCCACCCAAGCCTCTGGTTTCTCTACTTCTGTTACCTTGACATCAAAATTCACAAGGTTCACTCAGAACCGTTTGAATTCCCACATGTGACAGACAGACTATGGCCCAATGAATACCAACACGAGAGGCCCTACAGACATTAAATGTTATCAGTAATTATGTTTCCACAGAAATATTGTAAATAATATAAATGCTGCTATGCTCATTAAGCTTTTGATGTAATAATAACTGTCAGTGTATTTATGTTCCTTACAGGATAAAGGAAGTACTATTGCTAATACTCAGGACTAAAGTACTCACCTAGTAGTACTGAAATGTGCTCCAAGAAATAGGTAAAAAAAAAAAAAACAAACAAGATATTTGGTTATCATATGACACATGCCAACAATATTTAGTATGTGAAAAGCTAAAAAAAACAGAATGATTATTTTTTAATGCGAAATGTAGATAAGTATGAAAAAACTGAAATTTTATATCATTTAAAATATTTCAAATGCACTATTTTAACAGGGTTATCTGTAACTTTCTTCTCAGTCTACATGACTGACTACACAAACACATTAGATAGTAAACTGTCCTGGAAGTTGGTGCAGTTTAAGAAGTAACTGCTCCTCAGCACACGATTCAACCTTCCAGTCTTCAGGTCATATGCAAATACGTGGGGTCCACTGAAGAGGTAAGTAAAACCTGCGGAATAGAGGCTTAGCATTACTTTCTGTTATTGTTAAAGGTTTTGGTAGTTTTGAGAAATGTGCATTTGTTTTCTTTTTGAGAATTAAAAGGGAAAAAAGCAATACCACTCATAATTATCTATAGAAGGATGAAGCATTGTTAGCTTAGTATGAAGGCAAGTTAGCAGAAAAAACAGCTAACCTTGCTCTGTTAAACTGTAGCAAAATCTGTGGGTAGGTTGGAAGAATGAAGGAGGAAAACACTGTCATTTCAGCACTCACCTCTGTACTGGAGGGCTGCATTCACTTTGTTGGTCAGTCCAGAGAAGGTCTGATCGAGACGTTTGGGGAATCCTCGGTCCATAGTTTCTCTGGCATCATCATAACTGAAGAAGCACAAACCGGTATTAGATGTTTTCAGTGATGATAAAGGGTAAAGAATGAATCACCTTGAAATAGGGGTGTGTGATATACCCACGTATATCATCTATAAAAATATCTTAATTGTTATATTAACAATGCGCCAGCAAGCATTATCGAATAGGTAACTTTACAAAAAAGACTACTGCGTGTGTGCATTAAGAATACACACAGTGTGTGCATGGTCACACACCAGAAGATAAGCTAGCATAGCTGCCTAAAATACATTAGCGAGTTAAAACATGAGTGAAGAGACAGCATCAGGAGAGAAGATGTACCAAAAGCCTCCCAATTTACAGTACTGTGCAAAGGTCTTAGGCCATCATTACATTTGTTGTATTAGTAGTGTAATGATGACTATAAATATTTATCAGAATACAAATAGAAAATATAGTAAATACAGTATGGACACCATACAAAAAAACAAAAATGTCAGAAGAAAATCAGCAAACAAACCTGGACACTCACAGCTCAAGCTATTCTAAAGAAATATGAAGAATTTGGAGAAGTCAAGGACAAAATTAAGAGTTGAGACGAAGCTGTCAAAACCTGATGAGAAGCTTCTCAGAGTTTCTTCTTTGAGAGACCAAAGGAAACCCAGCAAGGACCTGGCTCAGCATCTGGCAGCTTCATACAGATGCCAGGTTGATCCTTCCATAGTCCAAAGAAGCTCAATCAGGAACAACCTTTGTAGAAGGATGGCAGCCAAGAAACCGCTTTTTCAAAATGGGGCCATGGAGAAGAGGCTAAGGTATGTAAAAGCTTGCAAAGATTGAAGTGAAGATCAGTTGAAAAGTCTTATGAAGGGATGAATCGAAGTTTAAAATTTTCAGGTCCAGTCATCGACAGTATGTGAGAAGAAGAGCTGGAGAGAGGTGGAAGATTGAGAGCTGGCAGCCTTCAGTTAAATATGGTGGAGGGTCTGTCATGGTTTCAAGACATCAAGACAGTCTCCCCAAAAGAACTGTGCAATGGGAGGTCACACTAAACACTGGCTTAGAACTGTAGAAGCCATTTTGTTAAAAAAAAAAAAAGTCGTGTACATATTTCCTGTATTTTCTGGTTATATCTCAATGAAGAGAAATAAATATAAATGATAATTATAACCTTGGTAAAACTAATGGGGGTCTAAGATTTGTGTACAGTACTGTACATTGTTTATTTAATTGCTAGATGTGGCTCAGAAATGATTATATTTACTTAAAAGCTTCAGTTTTAAGCAAATTAGCATATGAAATATAGTTTCCATTAATATCATTGGTAAGTTACAGTTAATATGCTATTAACAAGAGCAGCCTAGCACAACATAAGACTTACACATTTCTGAAAGATACTAAATATAGCCCAGGTATTGTTATGAACAAAATCCTCCTAAAATGTCCAGATATCTTTTCTTTTTTTGTGTGAATTTTGCACACCCCTACAATAAAATTAGTATGTTGATCAAACTCACCTGAAATAATTATTGCCTACAAAGAAAAGACTTTTGCCTGAGTCTGCGTCATAAAGGGCAGCATCAAGGTTCCTCACGCCTCTTGGCAGACCAAAACTGCTAAGTCTTTTAGGATAGCCTGGTACTAGATCATAGTCAGAGAAGGCCCACACTTTCTGACCTGTAGGCAAGAAAAGAGGTTGTTTTAAAAAAAAAAAAAAAGGCATAATTTAGGTGAAATGGTGTCAGATTTGTGCATCAGATAGATAAGGAACACACATCCCTTTAAAGAAAAAGATTCTGTCTGACTGTTGGTTTTCATAAGCAGCATCAACACCGACAGGAGCCTTGGGCCAGAAGTCTGTGATGAGACTTTTTTGAAGTGTCCTGTTCTGGGGGGAGTTATGCCACAAGAAGCTGAAAGCACACAAGAACATAGTCATTTTGCACATAACCCAGGTCACTTATTGTGAGAAAGGACCCTAATACATTTTGGATTTGGCTCTGTTACCATTCTACTGTTAAAGTACTGTGTCTGATACCTGTCCTTGAAGAAGAGCATCTGTCCTCTCAGGGTGGTGACAGCGTCCAATACCATGGTTGAATCACAGGCATCAGGGGAGGTGGGTGGCTGAGTCTCAGCTACAAAACTGTTCTTATTAGGGTTTAGACCTGTAGGTTAAACAAAGTGAGTTACTAAACAAATAATTACAAAGTCCTGCAACACATTGCAACAAAACCCGAACAGCATCAATGATGGTTATGAAAGAGATCCTCAGAGATTTTGGTCAAGTGCTGTTTGTGCAAACAATCCAAACAATTAGTACTAACCATACAGAGACTGGATGCCCTTGATATCATCCGGGGGCAGAACAAAGGTATCAGGGTTTTTATATCTGTATACAGGGTACATGAGAGCACCAGGATCATCAGAGTGAGACAAGCCCAGGGAGTGGCCAAACTCATGGGCAGCTACCAGGAAGAGGATGTAGCCTAGAGCCAAAGACACAGAATGACAGGTCAGTTACAGCAAGATAATCATTGCAGTAATTCTGTAAAATATTTTACTATGCAGAGAAAAAATAACTAATTCACCTCTGCTGGAGCGGAAAGTGAAGTTCTCATCTTCATCAAAATGAGCATCTCCTCCAATACCAGGAGCTGGGGCGAAGGCATGCGCTAGGGTTTTACCAGGGCCATCAAAGGGGTAATAATCTCCATGTTCTGTTACGCAAAAACAGACCGAAATCAGATTTTGAAAACAAGGAAAAAAAAAATACTTGTTCAAATAAATGTATGATTGATGTAATTTTCTCCTGCACTCATTTTGTTTTCTTAAAACCCAACAAGTGAGAAAGGGTGTCCCAAATGTAACCTTAAGCCAAGTGCTTTGTACTTCACACAAAAATGTCTTATGTATATGTGGGACATCACAACCACAAACCTGAGCTAAAGAAAACATGGCCATTTAGATATCTTCCCAAACTTGGAATAATTGCTCTCTCTTTGTTTTGAGTGACATCCATCATGTAACTATGCAAACTGTAGAAATGATCTGCTGCCAGTCATTAACGGATACATGTCCTTCAAGTATGCATTACAGTATGCTATAGCAGAGGTGTCAGCAAGGACTCTAGGATATTTACTTCTTCTATAAAAAAATTTTGAAAAATCAGACATACGGTACATCTAAGCTAGAAAATCATCTACATCACACCTGAGTACAACAACAACAACAACAACAAAAACTGAACACTAACAAAGTTACAAAGAGTTACACTTGGATGAGAAGCATATAAATCTAAAAGAAATTTAAACAAATGTTATAAGTGGTGAAATGTACTATACTTTTTAGGTATGTTAACTCAGTATGTTCTTTTATGCTGCTCCCTACTTACACTTCACAATATTTCACATCGATGCAGTGCTATTTTATAACATTTTTGTAGGCCTAGTGTATGTAAAGCACCAAAGACTGGGTCCTGTGTGGAAGAACTACATTAAATCTGGCTTACTGTACGTAGATGAATGAGTAATAAAAATTACTCAAACCTAATTATAATATATTACAACAATAAAGCACTCCAGGATCCATTCTGCACAATCAATATTTTGGTGATAATAGTCCTGTATTTTTCCTTAAGTAACACTGAGAATATGGTACTTTTACTTGTAAAGTATTATTTTAGACTATGTAGTTTATTTTTTACATAAGTAGAGGATGTGAGTATTTTTCCCACTAGTGACAATTTTGTGCTACTCACTTCCACGGCCAAAGGAGATCATGATGTCAGCGGTGCCACTGGAGATTCTTGTGAATCTCAGAGGAGTGACTTTGGCCCAGACCTCCAGCGCTTTCTTAATAGAGTCATCCACCTCTGACACAGACATGTCAGGTGTGTAGTTTTCAATCCTGAAGCACAGAAGTCAACAATATTGGAAATTTACAGCAATTACTCTTGCTCACATATTCTCTGTTCAGATTATTCACCTGTAGGTAAGGCTAGCTTTTTGCCACTTAGGCATCTTTCCAAATGTGGAGAAACCAGCAATGTCAACATCTGGAACACCACAGCGAGGCTTCTTCATCATGGCCAAGGTGTCAGCATCCAGCATCCCGGTGATGGTGAGACCAAAGAATCGTTGCATTTCACCTAGCTTCTTGCTCACTGGGCTGATGCCCCGTCTGACTGATGGACCATTGTCCTCTGTCAGGTTGAAGAATTTCTTCAGGTAGCTCTGTCGAAAGAAGACAAGAATTTAACAGTCCACCTAGTGATCACTAATGGTCCTTTGAATTTGTGCAGCACCGACAGCTCCCAAAATGCACAACTTGCCCCCATCTTAATGGCAATCTGCTGAGACTGTATGCAAGACAAGGCACAGTAAACACACACACACCTCTGCAAAGCTTTCATCTTGCTCAGTAACCTCTGATACTGGCACACAGTAAACTTCAGCTGCCAGGCTTAGCAGAATGCACAGCCAGAAAGACCCCATGCTTCCTCCTTGAATATCACTTGTGTGTGCACTAGAGTCAGCTGTTATATACAGTAGACTGAGGAGCAGAGCTGCTAGGGAGTAGCATGTTGAGCAACAACTATTGTGAGTCACAGCCTCAAGAAGTATTTCATTTATGGATGACAGGAGCAGAAGACGGGCTCTGATTGCTTGGCCTACAGGGCTGCTCCTAAAAAACAGACCGTAACAACGATCATGACACATGGTGTATTACATTTCCATAACAAAACAACTGATTTTAATACAATCAATTAATCAGTTAGATGTTTTGTGGGTAATTAAAATAAGTGATATGAAATTTTATATGTCAGTAATCATGTCTGACAAATGGAACCTTTGAACTCATACAGACTTTCTCAATATTGTGTACGAGGAGAGTGCCACAGTCTTGTCTCCAAGCAATTAAACAGGAAGAGATGGCAATGGTACCTTGACCAAATATTTCTAATTTTATTTTGAACATATTGGCTGATTTCTCCATCTGTGATCTAAGGTTATATTGTGATATTACACTTTAAGGCTCTCTGCTATGAATCTAAAGACCTTTACTCACAAACTCCAGCCCTCAGGCTACTGTTGCTCGTGATAAGACAGCAATGTGTCTTGCGAACAAATAGTGTATGTACGAGCTGAATCAAGTCATGAACCAAAGCCATGTTAACACTGAATTCAGAGGTCAGTCCTTAACAGCTAAACTGAAATAAATTTATCTTACAGGTGTTGTACTGCATTAAAAGTTGTTTTTTATTGTTGGTGAGAAAACTTCATTGTGGTTGCAGTTTCCTAATATTGAACAATGGGAGGAGTAGTACTGTATGTTGTGCAACATATATTTCAGGTAAATTGGCCAACACTAAAGACAGACAGTCACTGAAGACAAACAATTTTTAAATCCTTTATTTAACCAGGTGAAGCCTCTTTGAGATTGACATCTTTTTTTCAAGGGTGACCTGCAAAGAGGGCGGCAAACAGTTAAACAGTAACAATTACAATGGACGCAGTACAATACATGTAGACAAATACAACTGAGACATACTTCAGCAAACACAACATAATGCAATAAGAAAGTGATACTGTACTTATACAACCTATATGCAAATATTTCAAATCTGACACTGAGCACAATGTCTGTGCTACATATTAAAACCCCACATTTTACATTTTGTAAAGTCTGCCTTTTCTTTTTCAAAGTGAAAAGACATTATTTGAGGCCATTATTACAACATGGTAACACACAATTAATATATTTGAATAATACAGTTAAAACTGCATTTTAAAAATGGCAATTATTTATGTATATACTAATTCAATGTTACTGTTTTGCATCTGAGATTACACATTGTCTTGCATATAAAGTCCATCCATCCATCTTCGAAACCACTTAGTCCCAAACGGGGTCACGGGGGGCTGGAGCCAATCCCAGCCAGCTGCGGGCGAGAGGCGGGGTACACCCTGGACAGGTTGCCAGTCCATCGCAAGCTAACACACAGACGAACAACCAGTCACACACACACACACCTATGGGCAATTTAGAGACACCAATCAACCTATGCTGCATGTCCTTGGACTGTGGGAGGAAGCCGGAGCATCCAGAGAGAACCCACGCAAGCACGGGGAGAACAGGCAAACTCCGCAGAAAAAGGCCCCGGGTCACATATACAGTAAAGTCAGTGTGTGATATTCATCATCATCATCATCATCATCATCATCATCATCCTTGATTAGCAGACTCAAGGTCCATACAAAAAAGAAATAAAAAAAAGAAAGGATATAAAAGAAGAAAAAATAAATAAAAAAAATAAAAATCATAAAAGACATTTATACCAATGTTTCCACAGAGAAGATTGGTAACATACTACACTAAAACCAGGATTAGCCAGCATCATTATAAGACTATTCTCAGAGTTATTCACACGACAGATAAATCTGTACATCAGGTTTCTCATTAATGCCTGAAAGGTACTAACATGGACCTGTGAACACAACAGACTGGCGCTGGTGGACCTAGGCTTCTTAAGCAGAATCCTCAAGGCATCATTATAAGCAACTTTAAGTTTCTGTAAAGTAGCTACCTTATATTTACACCACAATGGGGCAGTATACAACGGTGTACAGTATGTTCTGAACAGATGAGCTTTAACATTAGCAGAACACATGTGAAATTTCCTAACCAACATATTAGCTTGAGCATACAAAATGCGACACTGCCGATATATATCCTCATCATCAGAAAGCTGATCTGTAATGAAATGTCCTAAATATTTAGTTTTTCTACAGACACTCAACCTTTGTCCAGACAAACAAAAGTCTGGGAAACAAAGTTCTTTGTCCCCTTTAGTCCGACAGATCAGTACAACACTCTTTTCTGCATTATATTTCACATCATACTTCAATCCATAGTCCGAGCACACATTCAGCAGTTGCTGAAAACCAGCACTGCTGGGCGAAAGTATGGCCAAATCATCAGCATACATAAAATGATTTACAATCATAGAAGACTATAAAAATAGGAAGGAGTAAGGTCTATGTAAACAGTGTCACTATGACACAATCTACTGCCAGGAAAAAGGAACATTCTGTGTCTGGGCTTGGTTTGTGCTTCCAAGTATTCCACTTTATCCGTTATGACTTTTAGGTTCTCACAGGTTTCATAAACGCCCTCCCTTGTGCCTTTAATTTGGGTTGACTGCTCACCCATGGTAACTTTAATCACATCGACCTCTCGCTGGGTAAACTGCAGACTCAATTTTATTTCCTGTATCACTCTGGTCATTTTGTCGAATCTCTTGTTGGTCGTCTCCATAAGTATTTGCACAAATCCTTTGAAGCTTTCGTTGAGCTGAGTGAGCAGGGCCGTGTACATCCTTTCATGAACCCAGAGAAGCGTGTGATGTGTGTTAACTGTTAAACCCATTTGCAGTAAGCGTTAACACACCTTAAATATTTGTGCATGAATCACCAATGCTGTTAAAGTTTTTCAGACACTGGAGGCAGGGGAAACCTCTTACATACTGAACTGATATTGTTGGAAATCCCCCAGCACCTTGGATACTTCATCCTCTTGATTCTGTTTTTAGTTACGAGAGATAGGTTTGATGTTTCAAGACTACACTAATCAATATCTCTATATTAGCAAAAAATCCAAATGACTAAATGTAATGCTAGTTCTGAAGCTACAGTATAGTTACTATAGTTGGTTAAAGTTACAAAGGTGACTGTCACACTGCATGTTGGTGTGGTGGGTAGCACAGTAACCTCGCCACAAGAACATCCTAGTTTGAAAATTTGTCCAGGGCCTTTCTGCTCTAAGATCTGCATCCCACGTTCCATTATAGTTATCTATGAATGCGGTGTTTTTTACTTTTATTTTACCAGGAAGTCCCATTGAGATCATGATCTCTTTTTCAAGGGAGACCTGGCCAAGATGGCAGCCAAATTATTATTAACAATCAACACATATACACAACATACCAACACAATATACAAAAATTTCATTCATAGGTGCATAGTAGGAAAATTTGGATTTGCCTCCCACTTCTTTTTAGTTATAACTGCTATGATATTTCACTAGGGACCTGCCCTCACGAAACATGAATGAATAAACTATAAACATATTGAATGCTTGTGTATACTTGGTTGCTTGTGCGCTTGATGGTTCTGTGGAAGGCTTAGGAGGTCCATGCCGTTCTCAGACACTGGCAGACCCCCTGCAGGGATGGAAGAATAGAAGGAAAAAAGATAAGAATAAAAGGTGTGGGTATCACGTGGGCTGGTAGGTAATGAAAAGCGGAAGTGGAAGTATGAAGATTTGAGTGGGATAAATATTGTGAAAATGGAAAAAGGCATAGTTTGGGTCAGGTTCCACAATGAATGTTAGGTGGTGCTACATAGCCACTCCTTCTAGGGTTAATAAAATCCTATCCTGAAAACGATGCAATGCGTGACACCACGAGTGACTCTCCAGCTATGTGAATAGGAACAACACACAAACCTGACACACCCTGCAGTTTTCAGTGCTAACAAAGGTTGAGATATAGTCATTTGAATGCATCTACATAGTATAGCAGTGCACTGTCTAAATGTGCATTAGATAGTTTTTGTTTAAAGTGAAACATCTGAACAGTTTATGGATGGAATGCCATGAAATTCAGTTCAGATATGGGGAAGAGTGAGTTCCCCTAAGGATGAACTGTTAGCACTTTGATAATCCTCTGCTTTTGACCTGGCGCGGCGCCATCTAGCGGTGGAAGAAGTACTCAGATCCCTTAAAGTAAGACCTGCCTGAGGATTATTAGGTTCCTGCGGATGTCTGCATGCTACCAAGTCAAGGTAAAGAAACAGGTGTATGTTAACCAAATATAGAAATCTAAAGATCCGGTGGAGGAATTGATGGTCCACTATTCAACCTGGGCAAAGTTAAAGTGTGCTGTAGCATAGATTTTGAAGCTAAAAGGTTTGCTTAAGAAACTGGTTGCGTACTGAAAGACTTTAACCACTTCCAGTGAGAAAGGCCGAAGGCCACAGTGTAAGGAAATAGTCACAGGATCGTCTTTGTCCTGTACAGAGATAACTGAAGCACAAAATGAGATCATAAAGTACTGTCAAAGACAACATTTCAAGGAAGACCTCTCAATGCTTGAGAAACACCAGATGGTGAAGAAGAATAGCTCGCTGTATAAGTTGACTCCAATACTTCAAGATGGAGTCATATTAGTTAGTTTCCAATATTATCAGGTCACCAATTTTAATTTGTCCAGTGCATGTTTATTGGGCAGTCATGCCTGAAGACACAAAACAGTAAGCTATTTTGCCAAAACATTCTCACATCACAGAACTCGTGCTGAGACATATTCATGAGGATACCGCTCACTCTGGGAGAAATCACATGCTGGCTCAACTGCGTCAGAGGTTCTGAATCCCTGGAGCGAATGGAGCCATCAGAAGATTTCTAAGTAAATGCATTACATGTTAAAGGCTGC